AGACCCCCTGCTACCAGGGATCGGGGATGTTTACTCTGGAAAAGAGAATATTCTGAGGTCAAAGAAAGCCCTCTTCCAAACAGGAAGTTCTGCGTAAGAAAGTTTTAACCTAACCTATCCGACCCCAAAGGAAAGAACAGTGTCCAAGCATGTGGAAGGTTCTGGAAGATGACTCCTGATGCTGGATGAGGAAGATCTTTCCAGCAGTTGGTAATGCCCAACCGCGCGGTGGACTCACCTGTACCTGAGGGGAACCAGGCAGGCAAACATTTCTCAGGAAGGACAAACATTTCTGAGGAACTGACGTGTCAGACGGTGCTGTTCCGGTGTCCTCTCAGGTCCTTCTTTCAGAGGGTCTGAAAGGGAAAGTGTTAGTCACTCAGTCGTGTCCGACTCTTTGCGACCCCATAGACTGTAGCCGGCCAGGCTCCTCTGTCCATGGGATTCTCCAGGCAAGAATATGGGGAGTGGGTAGCTGTTCCCTTCTCCAGGGGATCTTCCAGATCCAGGGATCAAACCCGGGTCTCCTGAATTGCAGGTGGCTTCTGTATCAGCTGAGCCACTGGGGAAGCCCCCTGGGTCAGGGTTGGCCTCCTGCCGCTGTGGCCCATGTCTGCAGGTGGGCAGCCGGGCAGTGAAGGGGTGCGAGGGGCGTGCAGGACGGGCGGGGACAGCGGGGAGGGGGAAGGGAGGGGTGAAGCATGTCTTGTGGGTGAGGCTGATGGCAGAGGCCACGGTGCCAGGGGGTCCCGAGTGGTCCCGCTCATGAGCTCTCTGCCTCAGGCATAGTCACCAGCCTACAAGTTGGGAACCAGCCCAGAGACACGAGACGACCTGCTTCCAATCTTCCCGGTCTCGGGTGGGCTCCAACATACCTAGGGGGCACCACCGGCCAGAGGCCACATTGCCCTTTTTGTCTCTATCAGGGGTCTACTGCCTACATGCTGGCTTGTCCCTGGGTAGGACTCACACTTCCAAGTGCCCACCAGTGCTCTGATGGGGAGAGCTCAGAAGTCAGCCTGGGCGCACCTGGCCTTCCTGGGCGCTATCAGAACACAGCATCTGGGGGCAGTGTTTATTTACATTATGAAGGAACCTGATAAAAGATCGAGAAATACTTCCGACTCAACACAATGAATTATCCGATTATACGGATTAAGTGATCATTCAGCGTGGGATCGTATTAGCCTCGTGCCCCACTCCTGGGTGTGTAGACACCCCCACAAAGGAATTGGTGGGTGCCCAAGAGACTCAGGCGGTAAGTGGGGAGTTGCCCCATCACCCTGTTCCCTCCCTCATTGTGTGTCTCCTGCTCAGGGCCCGTGTGGCTTTGCTGTAGGGTCTGTCACCCAGAGGACGGGTTTTACGGTGGCCATGCTGTGGGCTTTGCCCCTGTTCCAGTCCTTCAATGGGAAAGTGTCAAATGACCGAGCTGTAAGTGACCTGAGGCCTTGCCTCCTCCTTATGTGTGGCTTTGCTGTAGGGTCTGTCACCCAGAGGACGGGTTTTACGGTGGCCATGCTGTGGGCTTTGCCCCTGTTCCAGTCCTTCAATGGGAAAGTGTCAAATAACCGAGCTGTAAGTGACCTGAGGCCTTGCCTTCTCCTTATCTGGTCACTTACTGTAAGTAATTCACAGCGAGTTTCAACATCTTTTCTCCGTGGCAAACGGCGTTCTTCTGGCCTCTCACCTGGTGTCCTCTGGCTCATGGCGTGAAGATCTGGTCTCTTGAAGTGGACTGTGTCAAACAGTCAAATCCCGGGTGCAGGGGTTTGTAAGAGGCGGTCAGGACCACCTCTGGGTCTCTGGGAGTGGAGTCGAGTTTTAGGACCTTGGTCACTTTTGAATTCACCCATTCTCATGTCACTGGGCTTCCCTGCTGGCTCAGCTGGTAAAGAATCCACCTGCAATGCGGGAGACCTGGGTTCGATCCCTGGGCTGGGAAGATCCCCTGGAGAAGGGAAAGGCTACCCAGTCCAGTATTCTGGCCTGGAGAATTCTATGGACTGTATAGTCCATGGGGGTCACAAAGAGTCGGATACAACTGAGCGACTTTCACTTCATTTCACTTCACTTCACTTTATGTCACTTCCAGCCAATGACAAAAGGCAAAGGAGATGTGGGTACATCCTTGCCTTGGGTCTGACTCATCCTTGGTTGACACTTAGGAAGTCTATAAACCGCTCTGACCCTCGTGTCTTCTTCTGTAAATCAGGGACACTCACATCCACCCTGTGGAAGCGATCTCCTTATTACAGGAAAGACTCGGCTCCCCAGAGCCTGCCTGGAGCACACCACATGCTCAGCACACCCGAGTGTCCTTCTTTCCTCCCTTCCTCCCCATCACGCTCTCTGCCATCTGCCGGTCCTCCTCTGGTTTCCACCCTCGGCAGCTGGGGTGAGAGACAAGGCTGGACGTGGAGGAGTAAGACCAAAGCCCCAGCTGGCCCTGCTGGACTCCTGGGAGGAACCACAGACCTCTCCAGTCTCCCTGAGTCACTCTCAGCAAAGCACAAACCTCGATTGTAGGCTGGAGGGGTCCCCTCGGGGAAGTGGAGGGGACTTCTCGTAGTTCTGGAGGCGAGAACCAGGCTAGTAGGTAGAGAACATGTGGACAGGCAGAGTGAAGATGGATCTGCCCATCAATAGCGAGTGTCGGGCAGTGAAGGTGACAGCCTCCAAGGTCCCCTGGCTGTGCATTGAGGATCCTGTCAAGAGATCCACAAGTTTAACAGTGGCGAGACGAGGTGACCACTGGTCCCTGCTAGTTGTTCTCAGCCGGGGAACCACATTCAGGGTGCTCAGCACCCTTGTTCAGAGGACAAGGTCACATGGCAGAACTGCAGACAGCAACTCTTAAAGCAGTGCTTCATCTTGTGGAGTTCTGGGATTATTTAAGAGACAATGTGATTTGGGGCTAGCAGAAGACTGATCATATATATATAAAACACTGAAAAGAAAAGAGAAAGGAGATGTCCATTGCGGTCATGATAAAGCTCCAACTTACTCCCAGGAATCTAGAGAGAGCAGGCCTGTGTTGGGGCTTTGCATGGTACTGGGTTGGGACCACTGGTATTTCTGGCTCGTTGCTTCTCCAGCACCTGGTCTGGGCCCATGTCTCTCTCTGGGCCCAGTCGTGCCCACTGGGTCTGCCTTCTCTCCAGTGTATAGCGTCTCCTGGCGACTGTTTTATATAAATTGTCCAGGGGTTTTTGTTGTGCTCAGTGGGAAGGAAAAGGCCATCCACTGCATTTTCCTGGAAATGGAAGTTCAAGTGTTGTTTTTCTTATTCAATATCACCTTATCTTTTTGCTGGTTGGCATTCTTTTTCTGCCCTTTATGTTATTTGTGGTTTTTTCATCTCTATTTGAAAAATCTCTCCGCCTCTGGAGATCTCCTGAGCAAAGAACTGGATCCCGTCTCCAGATTCAGGCAACTGGCTGCGGCCTCGTCTCCCTGGAAATCCTTCCTGTCATCTATTATCCAAGATGGATGCAGGACGAGCCATGCATCTCGCAGGGCTGGTGCTTTCAGGTCATGACAGTTTATTCCCTCGGAAGCTGAGACCCCTGCTCACCACTGTCCGCTCTTGGCCTTGGCCAGTTTGGGAACAGCCAGCAATTCAACCCAAGTCTCATTTCTTCTGTTCTCTTTTCTCCTTTGAATGGGCTTCCCTGGTGGCTCAGTGGTAAAGAATCCACCTGCCAATGCAGGAGACATGGGTTCCATCCCTGGGTCAGGAAAATCCCCTGGAGGAGGAAATGGCAACCCACTCCAGTACACTTGCCTGGAAAAGTCCATGGACAGAGGAGGCTGGCAGGCTACAGTCCACGGGGTCGCAAAAAAGCCAGACAAGATTGAGTGACCGAGCACATCAAACAGTCAGTGGGTCGAACTGCATGGATGAGCTTTGTGCTACAACTTTGTGCCAGAAATACTCCATCAGTTCTTGGTTCTATAGAGTCTAAATCCGCTCACTCAAACAGGGGTCAGTGATGGCAGGAGCCCACCCCTAGCCTGTCACCATCAAGCAGAGCCCCTCCAGGCGCCCAACAGAACCCAGAGGAGGTAGACAGGGATCCCACAGGCACCCGCGGGTTCTTGCTTCGTTAAAAAAAAAAAAAAAAAAAGATGTTTGCAGCTGCTTTGGGGAGAAGGACGTCTATGAGTCACTACTTTTAGACCCATGCTGTTCTAGCCACAGGAAGACAGACCCTAATAGAAAAAGAAGGAGAAAGCAAACAAAATTGATTTCTGATGTTCTAATAGGCAGATATATCAAGAAGCGACCTTCCAAAAGTGGCAGCTGCCCACCTCCGTGAGGATCCTTCCACCCTCACTCGGGAAAGGTGTTTGCCTGTTTCCCTTGCCCTTGGATGCAGCCAATGCCATCCTAAAGAGTACCCCCCAACACACACACACCAATCACAGGCAGAAATAACAAATAAGACAAAAAGACAGCAGAACAAGACCAGCCCTGCCTGCGGCTCCACTTGACCTACATGTGGAGAGGACATATTATTCTTTCCTCACAATCAGGTCAAGCAGTTGCAGGGTTTAAAGGCAAGAATGCCAAATGTTCTTCTTGAAAGAGCAGAACGGGGAAATCCTGGAAAATCAACACAGGCAGCCCCAGCAGGTGCCAAGTCACGGGCTGCGGTTGGTAGTGGGAGTCCAGCGATCGAGTTCGAGAACCCCCCAAATCCAGACAAGAACTCTGGCTGGAGACTATGATTCACACTGCACTCAGAGCACCCAGCGAGCACGGCCAAAATCCAGTTCGTTTCCCTGCAACACCTTAGCGAAAAGGTTGGCTGTGTGGGTGAGATATGAATCTATTAATTTCCTGGACGCTCGGTTTACTAAGAGAAAGATTAACAGGGCTGTGATACGTGAAAGCTCTCGAATTTCTCCCCGTGGGGGACATGGGAAGGCTCGTTTGTGGGGCCGAGTGAGGGAGCGACCCACACGCACGGGAGGGATGCGATCGTAAACACAGCATCTCTCCCTGGGACTCTTCAGGGGAACAGCAGGGCTCAGGGGCCAGGGAAGCGCCTGGCTGGGAGTTGGTCCCACCAGCAGAGGTCTGGACCAGAGGCTGGTCCCCTTTCTAAAGTACACTCACCCTTTGACTTTTGGTCGGGGTTTTGCTGAGCTGGCTGCAGCCTGGCTCCAAAACGACAGAGCAGCGCAGGAAAAGAACATCGGGATCTCTCTGCTGGAATCATGCCGACGGTGGACGACATCCTAAAGCACATCGGCGAATTCAACTTTTTCCAGAAACAAACGTTTTTCCTCCTCTGTCTGATCTCGATCGCCTTCACCCCCATCTACGTGGGCATCGTCTTCCTGGGCTTCACCCCGGATCACCGCTGCCGGAGCCCCGGGGTGGCGGAGCTGAGCCGGCGATGCGGCTGGAGCCTGGCGGAGGAGCTCAACTACACGGTGCCGGGCCCGGGGCCGGAGGGCCAGTGCCTCCGCTACGAGGTGGACTGGAACCAGAGCGCCCTCGGCTGCCTGGACCCGCTGGCCGGCCTGGCCGCCAACGGCAGCCCCCTGCCCCTGGGCCCCTGCGACCAGGGCTGGGTGTACGACACCCCCGGCTCCTCCATCGTGACCGAGGTAGGTGACTGTGGGACTTAGAAGAGATGGAGAAAACAAACAGTGCGGCTTTCCTTAAGGAAGAAACCGGGGACGCCCAGACGTGGAGTCAAAGGACCTCATAAAATCCTCCTTTCCAACCAAAACATACAGCCTCTTACTTCTCTAGAGTGTGAGTTAGTTTAAACTTCATATAATGACCATAATGATTCTAGTGTATGCGAGTCTCAGTACAAGAAATAAGCAAAAACATATCAGAATTCCTGGAAATAATGCCAGGAAAGGGGAAATTTCCAAGCCTCAGGCTGAATTTCTGGAACCTGTACCCTCCATCTGCTGTCATACAGACAGACAGACATCTGACGGCTCACAGAACTCACCTGATTGGTGCCTTACTATGATACAATGTACTTTTCTCTCAATGGTTGACCTTCTTCTCTTTAGTTTGCTCAAAGTATATATGTCAAACCATTTAGGGTTGGAGCTTTTGCTATGGTACTATTAATTCTTTAAAAACCACACTGGACATTCCTACACTTGTCCTTCCCTTTCAGAAGGTAAAGAATCTTCCTGCAGTGCTGGAGACCCGGGTTCCATCCCTGGTTTGGGAAGATCCCCTGGAAAAGGAAATGGCAACCCACTCCAGTATTCTTGCCTAGAGAATTCCATGGACAGAGGAGACTGGTAGGCTACAAAAAGTCACAAAAAGTTGGACATAACTGAGCAACACCCACTAACACATACACAACTGACATACATCTGACTGTGAGTCCTCTTTTCCATAAAAAGGAAAAAAAAATGGAGGCTTGCTGTTTAAAAAAATTTTTATTGGAGTAGAGCCAATTTGCAATATTGTGTTAGTTTCAAGTGCTCAGCAAAGTAAATCACTTACATATATACATACTTCACTCTTTAGATTCTTTTCCCACAGATTATTACACAATGTTGAGTAGAGTTCCCTGTGCGCTATAGGAGGTCCCTATTAGTTATCTATTTTATATACAAAAGTGAGACTTGATTTTATTGGAGGCAAAGCAAAACAGGAGGACAAGATTATTCTACAAAGAAAGCCAGGTGCTTGACTTAAAAGGACCACTTGGACGATGTGAAGATAGTCTGTCTGAACAGACATTGAGGTAGAAGAGACTTTTGTAAGGATGTAAAGTGGTCTGACAGTTACATGAAATGTGAAGGATTGAAGATTTAACACCATACAATTTTAAGAGGCCTTACAACTTGGCTCACCTCACTCATTCATACAGACATGAGGAAACTGAGGCCCAGGGCAGAGGAAAATTTTACCCCAGACACAGAGTAAGAAGGCCTCCCCAGGCGGCTCAGAGGTAAAGACTCTGCCTCCCAGTGCAAGAGACACAGGGGATACGGTTCAATCCCTGGGTCAGGAAGATCCCCTGGAGGAGGGCATGGCAACCCACTCCGGTATTCTTGCCTGGGAAATCCCACGGACAGAAGAGACTGGCGGGCTACAGTCCATGGGGTCGCAAAGAGCTGGATACGACTGAGCCTCTGAGCTCACAGTGCACGCACAGAGAAAGTACATTTTAAGCCCTCGAAACCGGATCTCCCAAACTGCAGGCCAGCACAGGCGACTCCTACAACACTGCCTCTTGTTCCAAATGAGAGCAAAGGCCACAGCCAGGAGCAAGATGCTAATTCCCCTAATTTAAAGAGACACCCAACTGCCCAACTTCCTTGAGGCAGCACTTGTATTGTGTCCACACACCTATTTGCCTCTGTGCATTAAAATTAGAAATAGGAATGGTTCATGTATAAGTAATGACCTAATTTCAGCTGATTTAGCCAAAATGACATACCACCAGGTAGGATGCTAAACAGGCTGCGGGTAAAATCTTCAGATTGTGTAAAGAAAATACAAGCAAGAAAAGAGTTGGGTTATTGTCATCCAGCTACTCCATGCAATACAAGGAGTGCCTCCCACATTTCCTGGGCTGAGTTGTGTCTAACAGGACTTTTGTTTTCTTTCCCTCCCAACTCGGGACCCCTGTGGCCCCTCGCAGTTTAACCTAGTGTGTGCCAACTCCTGGATGCTGGACCTGTTTCAATCGGTGGTGAATGTAGGATTTTTTATCGGTTCTCTGAGTATCGGCTACATAGCAGACAGGTAGGTGTGCCATAGAAGTGGTGGAATTGAAACTGTCGGAGGAGAGCACCCACCCCTGCTTGAATGCCCTACTACCCCACAGCACACTGGCCAAACTTCCCTGGATGGTCACGACAGTCTTAGATGTCTCCTGCCGCTCTGATAGCATGACCACTGTCTGTATTTTCTCATTCTCGGGGCTCATCGAGGGATGTTTCAGCATGGGATGGCAGTGTTTCCTTGTGGGCTATCCAGAAGCTGAGGGTGAGACAGGAGAGATGACAGATGAAAGATGACTGGATCCCTTTCGTAATCCTGATTCTTCCTTTGGCTTCCTGCCATCCCCCTGGTCATCCACCTTCGGGGCCTCTTCCCCCTCCCCTCTCAAGGCCCAGAGCCAGGTAGAATCTTGCTATTGCTCTTACCTGAGTGCAAGGGGGTGCAGGATTCCTGAATCGGGGCCCCCAGAGCCAGATGTAATTGTTGAGTTGGCCAAAGAGTTCCTTCATGCTTTCCCTTACGATCTTACAGAAAACTTTGAATGAATCTTTTGGTTTACCCAATATATGTGTGGAAGGTGCGATATAACGATGAAAGGGAAGCAGGGTCTCCACACTGACAGAGGTAAATATTCGATTCCATAATGTCACATCCCGAGAGATAAATGAAGGGAGACTTCTCCAGGTGGGACGCATGGCCGGTGGTCCTCTCACCTGGGTCTGAATCTTCAGGAGCTTGTTTTCAGTGGCTCGTATCCATCCAGCCCTTCCTCGGCCTCTTATTTAACCATCGTTTTGTAATCCCACATTCACAGTGCTGAAAGTTCCTCATAACGTGCATCTTTACTCATTGATCTAATTGATCAGTGATCTATTAGCATTATTAGGAGTCCCCTAAAGGGAAAGGGAAAGAAGAGCTTCCCTGGCTGCTCAGGTGGTAGAGAATCTACCTGCAATGTAGGAGACCCAGGTTCGATCCCTGGGTCAGGAAGATCCCCTAGAGAAGGGCGTGGCAACCCACTCCAGTGTTCTTGCCTGGAGAATCCCATGGACAGAGGAGCCTGGTGGGCTACAGTCTGTGGGGTTGCAAAGAGTTGGACATTACTGAGCAACCAACAAAGGGAAAGGAACAGAAAAATTGGCTCTATACTTGATAAACACCTTAGCTAATTTGGCCATCAGAGCTATAATATCAGCTGTTTACTGGGTGTGTTTTGTATGCCAGGCAGTGGGTGCAACATTTTAAGCAGTATTATCCTCTTAATATGGAGAAGGAAGTGGCACCCCACTCCAGTGTTCTTGCCTGGAGAATCCCAGGGATGAGGGAGCCTGGTGGGCTGCCGTCTATGGGGTTGCACAGAGTCGGACATGACTGAAGCAACTTAGCAGTAGTAGCATCCTCTTAAATTGTTAGTTACCTAGTGAGATAGTGCTGCATAAATGAGCAATAAATATGTAGTCTCATAATTTATTATGAACTACACATGTTTAATTCTCAAATGAATGGTAAATATGCTTGCTGCCTTCTCCAACCCTATCTTTGGTACAGATAAACCCAAACCTGTGAGCTTAATATGAAACGTAGGTAGAACATTTTGTCTGATGATGCTGCGTTGTCTGTCTGGATTAAAACCGGCAAATGCATTGAAGATGAATAAGGCTGGCTGAATCAGTCATACCTCAGGGGCATCTGAAGGTTCATGGCCAGGACTCCCTGTGGCAGCAAGCGGGAGGGGAATGACAGAGGGGGTGCTATGTCTGAGGCAGCCCCGGGCCTCATGCCTCTTCTGTGACTGCCTGTGCACCCTCTTTGAGAGGCTCTTCTTGGGACTCTGTGTGGCAAAGAGGCTGGTGAGGTGCAAGGGGAGGGCATTTGCTTTCACTAGTATTGCCACCGAACTGAGGGTGGTGGTTTGGAGATGACCCTTTAAGAAGGAAGAAGCACAGTGAGGTACCATTATACGCCAGTCAGGATGGCTGCTATCCAAAAGTCTACAAGCAATAAATGCTGGAGAGGGTTGTAAATCCATGGCTAATTCATTTCAATGTATGACAAAAACCACTGCAATGATGTAAAGTAATTAGCCTCCAACTAATAAAACTAAATGGAAAAAAATAAATAAAATTAGGGTAATTATTTAAAAAATAAATAAATAAATAAATAAAGAAGGAAGAAGCACCCAGAGTCCAGAGTCTGCCCTGCTCCAGCGTGTGGCTGTCTGGTGCCCTTGCCCCTGGCTCCCTGTCCACCCCCAGCTTCACTGGAAAGAGTGGACTCTAACACTCAACTTGCCAGCACGGAAGTGAGCAAATAGGTGACTGAGCTTCACAGTTGGTTAAATAAATGAGTTAATTATTCCCATCCCACTCAGAGAGTAGGAGACGGGTTATAATTCTCTCCTGACAGTGCATTCCTGGTTTATAATCCCCAGGCGATTATCCACCTTCTCAGATGACCTCATCATTTTGTTCCCTTTGTTGAAATCTCCTATGTGAAGCTAATTAGTCATCATTCCTCCCCCCACGAGCTGTGAGCATCCCTCTGTTTATTTTTCTTAAACTGTCTGAAGTCTGGCTGGTTATTACCCCTTTCCCTTCTGCTGTGTGTGCAGGTAAGGGTATGGAATAAGACGACTGCCAGAGGGGTCCAGTGAGGACGCTTCATCTTTTGCACACTCAACACCTGTTTCTGAACAACTGTCAGGTTTTATACAACGGTGCAAGAATCTCATGGGAACCCATTTGATGCTACAGATTAAACAAAATAGATTGTTATAAGGAATTTTAAAAAGATGACCTAACAGCTGAAGGGGTGAAGAGCCTTTTAAGAGCTGAAGTGTCTTTTAGAAGAAAGCCAGGAACACCAAGTCAGACTTTCTGAGGGTCAGCTTTGCAAACGGAAGGTGGGAGAGAGGGGGGATATATGCTAGGGAATTTGGAAATAAGCCTTTTGTAAGATGTCTCATTTGTTTCATCACTCAAACCTCCTAAGGAATGACTGTGAGAATCCCTGACACAAAAAAGTAATCGATCAGCAATTCCAGGTTTTTTACTCCAATGATCAGTAATTTAGTGTCAGGCTTATAAATGTTTTATTTTATTTTTTAATTTTTGACCATGGGTCTTAGTCCCCTGACCAGGGATCAAACCCATGCTTCTTGCTTTGGTAGGAAGAGTCTTAACCACTAGATTATCAGAGAAGTCCCATCAGGCTTATGAATGTTTAATAATTGACTCTCTGAAGGAGAAAGCCCCGATTTGTAGGGTTTTCTGGTCTCCATGCTGTCAAAGCTCCCACGGTGGTCCATTTCAAGCTGCCAAAGTGAGGTCATGGAACACAGAAATATGTTGGAGAAATATGCACCATCCGATGGCATTTCCACATACAAATATAACAAAAAGATATAAAAGACCTCATGAGCATAGATAAATACTGAAACAGTAAAATAATTAGAAAGAGATGTTTTGCATATTTATTACACTTGTTTTTAACATAATTTACTTTAGAGGAAGTGTATACTTTCATTTTTCATAATGGTGCACTTAACACTCAGCTCACAAATTTTCTGAAAGTCTATCAGTCAGTTCTTGAGAGTCAGCACCTTGCTGTTCAGATTTCCTAACGGAACCAGATCCAAACAGAATCAAAGTCCTGGTGGGTTGCAGTCAAGCTTACCCAACTCTGTGGGATCTTCCAAAATAAGCTGTCCCCTACCTGCTATGTGCCAGTCATTGTACTGGATGTCATGGTGTGTTATATCTCACTTAGGATCCTAACAGCCTTGAAGAGGAGAGTTATTATCCACAGTTTGCACAGGAGGAGCCTGAGGCTCAGTGAAATGAACGCAGCATTTCCCAAATGTTAACATGCATGTCAACCACCTGGGGGGTTTGTTAGAATTACGATTCTGATCCAGTGGGTCTGGAGTGGGCCTGAGTATCTGCCTTTCAAATCACCCACTGGTGATACTCATATCCCCAGGCCACAGTCGGAGTGGCAAGTAGCTAAAGGATTTATGAAGCCAGCGGTACTGGAGTCCACCCACTTTCTTTGATTTTCTCTCTTTCTTTCATTTAACCACTTAAGTGGTTCTGTTGTAGGAGGGCAGGAAGGTGGGGATGTCTCAAACCAGTCTCCCGAACCTCCAGAATTTCTTCCAGCCCTGCCTTACTGTTTTAATCGCCTTGTGTCCATCTGTGAAATTGTCTTCTAGTGAACTGCATTCCTAGGTTCGAGTTTCTGAAGGTTCGCATGCTCTGAGTTTCAAATGGTGAATGCCCCCTCTCATCAGCCATGGAATTTTGTCACCTAGGGGAGCACGATTGTGGTGCTTTGGGTCACCTGAGTCAACTTTGGAAGTTGAAGAAATCTCATTTGAACACGTGCTTATAAACTCTTTGAGGATAAGTGAAGGGGGTTGGGTAGGAGAACGTGGAAAGAAAGGCTAAAACATTGTGTTGAGTTGTGACTTTGAAAGACTGTGAATAAAAGGCTAAGAGGGTATACGTTTACAGTGGGGAAACAGTTGACTGAGAATTCAAAAATGATGTCGTCAACACAGTTTTGAGAAGTTTAGCAATTTACATTAATTCCCAAGGAGACTGCTTGATCTTTAAGTTTCAGATTTAAGGCATTAATAATACCCATAAGACAGCTCACAGGATAAGGTTCAGAATATTATCTACAGCCCTTGAGAAAGAACTAAAGGTCTTGACTATGCTTAATGACGACATTATTATTATTTAGTCTCTTTTGACTGCTTTTCTTTGTTTCCGCATTTCACACTTCTCTGGTTAAACTCATTCTTTGACTAAAGTTTTCTGTAGACGGAAGGCAGGCAGAGGACATGGTGGTGTAAGGTGGGGCCAAGAAGCATGCGGTCCTGTTCTGTTCCCGTAAAGACAAGGTTAAGCTCAGGTTCCCACTTTTTCCTGTGCTGAGACACTCCCAGGTCCTTAAACCAACGAAACTCAAGTCCCCATAATAAAATGTACACAAGCGGTCCTGCTAGGGGCCTCCACGACAAAGGCCTAAGGGACGGGAACACACGAGGTGAGGCCACAAACAACCGTTTCCATGGAGACACACAAATACCATGAAGTCCAAAGGCAGCGTTGAAAATGCATAGGGAAATTCACCATACACTGAGTTTTGTTTTTTTCTAAAGCGAAAGCTCCCGGGTGGGCAGTTGAGTCTGTTTGTGGAGAGGCCAAGCTCAGGCGATGATGGAAGGCTTGGATAGGCCCTTGGGCATTCAGGACCAGCGGGGGGTGGGGAGGGGGGCCTCGAAGAATCTCCCACCCCTGTGTGGGGCTGAGAGATGCTGCAGCCCAGAAAGGCAGACCCGAAGTCAGGGATTCTCTTGGAGGGAGTCAATCGGTACCTCTTGAATTTCCATCCCTCAGAGTTGACCCCCACTTTAGTTAGAGTTCCATAGCGTGTGTGAATTTTCTACAACCTTCGTGAATCTAACCTGATGCCACTCCCTCTCTTCGTTTTCTCTTCACAGGTTTGGCCGTAAGCCCTGCCTCTTGATTACAATCCTCATAAACGCTTCGTCTGGAGTGCTCATGGCCATCGCCCCAAACTACACATCGATGCTAATTTTTCGCTTGATCCAAGGACTGGTCAGCAAGGCAGGCTGGTTAATAGGCTACATCCTGAGTAAGAACACTTGTGAATGCAGCTGTGGGAACAAAGGTTGGCTGGCAAAATACAGTCAGTCTGGTGGGGGAAGCTACACAGAAAAGGGGACTCAGCTTCAAGACAACGTTGAAAGATTTTTCTTTCTGTATCAAAAGAATTTCTAAGATCTTTTCAGTACACTCATTCTACATTCCTCCTAGAAAGAAAACAATGAAATAGGAGAGTTAACAGTGTGCCATCCAAATTCTTATATAACGCTTTAGGAATTTTTGTTTTCCGTACCCTAGGGTGTTCCATAGAGAGAAAATCTAGCCTACCAGGCTCTTCTGATTGTTGTTCTGTCACTAAGTTGTGTCTGACTCTTTGCAACTCCATGGGCTGCAGCACACCAGGCTTCCCTGTCCTTCACTGTCTCCCAGAGTTTGCTCAAACTCATGTTCATTGAGTCGGTGATGCCGTCCACCCATCTCATCCTCTGTCATCCCCTTCTCCTCTTGTCCTCAATCTTCCCCAGCATCAGGGTCTTTGCCACCAAGTTGGCTCTTCAAATCAGGTGGCCCAAGAATTGGAGCTTCTGCTTCGGTCCTTCTGATGGATATTCAGAGTTGATTTCCTTTAGGATTGACTGGTTTGAACCCCATGAACTTTAGTACTAGGCTCTACAGAGAGAACATTCAATGAGAAACATGCTAGATTTATAAGAGACTTTATTAGTTTGAGTGCATCCACTCTAGCAAACCACAGTTATCCTCAAATAACAAGCAAGGAAACTGAGGCTACAAGTACTGTGGTCAATCTCGGGTCCTCAGCAAGCCACTTGTAGGACCAGGAATATCATTTACATCCTACTCATTAGGAGCCAGGCCTATGCTTAAGCTCCATGGATTATAGGAGAATATTTGCATTATAGCAGCAGAGCATCTTTAAAGTAATATTTAGAAGAATTACCACACACTTAGATCTTGGGAATTCACTTCATCATTGCTTTTCTTTCGGGTGCATTCAAGTAGCCTCCACACACAGGGAAATGGGCTCTGAAATTTAAATAATAATAATAAATCCTTCATTTCCCACAAGAGAACTAGAATATCTGTACTTAAAAATTGGCTCAGTAAAGGGGCCAATAAATCCAGGGCATTCTATGAGATGAAGAGGAAATGGCGCCTAATACTTTTAGGTGCCGGTCATGGTAGTCACCTGATCTATGTGAGGACAACAAAGAGATTACTGCATGCGGTTACTTGATGAGAAACTTGGTTTCCGAAGGCACAGCATAGAAATACGTAGCATTTGAATTCAAATTTCAGCCTCCTCTCAGTAATTTCCCCTCCAGTCCCTCCAGTGTCCTCATGGTTCACTTGTCATGCACCCTTTTTCTACTTTTCTGCTTGCTACCCCAAGACCTCATCCATGACCCCAACCACTTTGAAAGACGGCTGTTTGTATTTATTAAGTATGTACACAATTTCATCTCTCTTTGTAATTACTTTTGGATAGTTCACAGTACTTCATAGGAATAATTTCAGAGAACATTTCTATTTGGTTTACAAATAGTTGAAATCTTTAACACGGTAACCAAACATTTAAAGCAAAACTCTGTGGTTCGTGGAATGTCTGGCATGCCAATTCGAGAATGTCTGTGATATAAAAATGACTATTTCCTAAGTCCATGTACCATGGACTTCATACATCTCTCATGGTGTATAGCATGGGATAAGAATAATTATACCACGTGCAGTGTTATGCCTTTAAACCAGCTCTTGGAGAATAAAAAACCTGATTCATAGTGTTTTCCAATTTTTAAGTTGTGAATACTCACACCATGACTGATTTTAAGATACCAATGGGTTAAAAATCAGCTTGCAAAATTCCTAAAAATTTAAAAATTAGTTTTTGCCAGCCAGTACTAGCTCACTTCAGTCAACCTGGAAACCCACCCCTTAGGTTTTCAAGCCATTTGCACTCATTAACAGCATGGCCAAGAAAATGTTTAACTCATGTAAGAGGACATGAGCTATTATACTGAGCTATTCATTTATGTGAAAATCATCTATGCTCTAAATTCAGTGCTTACTCCATCTAATGTGGGATTATGAGATTTTACATTAACACAACAGCAATAATCATAACAGAATAGGTCCCAAAGGACATTTAAAATTTTCTAAGAGCTGTATAGAAAATTCTAGAGCTTGGACCACGTTTTCAAGGTTGGCATCCTAGTTGTCCTATCGTTGGATCACCAGCTTACTGTCATACTGACTGGTGCTGACCCTTTGGGCTCTCCCTACAGTTACAGAATTCGTTGGGCTGAACTACCGGAGGACAGTGGCGATTTTCTACCAAGTGGCCTTCACGGTTGGACTCCTTGTGCTTGCTGGGGTGGCCTATGCGCTTCCACACTGGAGGTGGCTTCAGTTCACCGTGACTCTGCCCAACTTCTGCTTCTTGCTCTATTACTGGTAAGTCCAAGTGGGACAAAAAAGAAATAAACTGAAACATTTGGCTAAAAAGGCTGTCTTCCCCAGTGCACACCATCCTTCCAGCCTGAGATGTCCTTCACTCTTCTATTTCTTGGGAAACCCAGGTCCGTGTTTCAGGGCTGAAAATGACAAGTTTCCCCTCTGGAAATCAAATGTTCTTTCACTTTGAACCAAGAGCTTTATGACTTGGATCTCATATTTTCACATTATTTATGTGGTTTTAAAAGTTAGCTTCTAGTGGCCGTAATACCCTTCAAAGAGACTGACAACATTACTGTTCTTACTCTACCTCTCCTTAGAAGAGACTCCAAGATAGAGAAGGTGACGGGTGATGCTGTTATCACCACTTGCCTTGCCAGGTCCGAAGCAGACATCCCCAATCAATCACAGCAGTTTTTAATCCCAGATGAGGCCAATGTGGCACCCCAGTCAGACCATACCAATCAATCAGAGTTACCAGAGCAAGTGAAATGTCAGTCATTCCTGCCCAAGGGAAACATGGAAATAGAAGAAACTCTCAAAAACTCCTAATGTGAGGTTACCTGAAATAAGTCAAGAAGGGTGCTGGATTATCAACCAAATCTCCTTTGCAAAAACCCACTTATTTAGTTCCTGGACATAGCTACCTGTTGTTCCTATAGGTGACTTTTCTAAAGATTTAACATCCAAACCCTTCCCAGGAAGCCTGTTTCTCCTCCAAAAGCCAGTAAAATTCTGAGGATGATTCTTAGCTGCTTCCCTATATCCTTTCTACTCCCTTTATATCTCTGAATCCACGCCCCCCCCCTTTTTTTTCCTGTTCTCATTAGGAACTCATTATTTATTGCCTGGATTTCTGGACAGATTCATAACTGGTCTATTTGGCATCAGCTTTCCCATCTTCTAGTCCATGCTTCACATTGCATTGGAAAAATCCAGGTCTAGCTCATTACTCTTTGGCTTAAATATTTTTCTATACTCTTATTCTCCTCAGAATGAACACCTAATGCTTTAGCATGACAGGAAAGGCCCACCTATTATCCAAGTTCTGTCCATCTCTGAAGCACTTCTTGCCACTTTTACTCAATGGAGTCAAATTTAGTTTTCTTACAATTCCGCAGGCCCCACAATAGAACTGTGTTTTCAAAAGATCACTCAAGATGAAGATTAGAAAACAGGTGTTTGGGCTGTTTTGTTTTCTTCAGATAAATATTCAGAAGTGGGATTTCTGGATAATACAGTAGTTCTATTTCTAATTTTTTTTTAAAGGAATCTCCATACCACTCTCCATGGTGGCCGTACAAATGTACATCCCCACCAACAGTTCATCAGGATTCCCTTTTCTCCATATCCTCGCTAGTACTTGCTGTTTCTTGTCTTTTTGATAACAGTCACTCTGACAGGTTGAGATGATATCTCAACTGTGGTTTTGATTTGCTTTTCCCTAGTGATTAGTGATGTTGAGCATCTTTTCATGTCCTTAGTGGCCATCTGTATATCTTCTTTGGAAAAATGTCTATTCCAATGCTCTGTTCATTTTTATTTATTTTTAAAATTAAAAGAAGATTTGGCTGTGCTGCATCTTTGAGGCTGTGAGTGGGCTTTCTCTAGTTGCAGCGAGTGGAAGCTACTCTCTAGGTGTCGTACGCAGGCCTCTCATCGCAGTGGTCGCTTGTCTTGTTGCAGAGCACGGGCTCTAGAGCACAGCCTCCAGAGCACAGCCTCCGTCGTTGTGATGCATGGGCTTACTTGCTCCACGGCATCTAGAATCTTCCCAGACCAGGGATCGAACCTGCGTCCCCTGCATTGGCAGGCGGATTCTTAACCCCTGGGGCCATCATGGAAGTCCCACTCTGCTCATTTTTAAATCAAATTGCTTGGATTTTTGCTATCAGGTTGAATGAGCTCTTTATATATTTTGGATGTCAACCCCTTATTCGATATATAGCTAGCAAGTATTCTCTCCCATTCAGTAGGCTGTCTGTTCATGTTGTTGATGGTTTCCTTTACTGTAACACCTAATGCTTTAGCATGACAGGAAAGGCCCACCTATTATCCAAGTTCTGTCCATCTCTGAAGCACTTCTTGCCACTTTTACTCAATGGAGTCAAATTTAGTTTTCTTACAATTCCGCAGGCCCCACAATAGAACTGTGTTTTCAAAAGATCATTCAAGATGAAGATTAGAAAACAGGTGTTTGGGCTGTTTTGTTTTCTTCATATAAATATTCAGAAGTGGGATTTCTGGATAATACAGTAGTTCTATTTCTAATTTTTTTTTAAAGGAATCTCCATACCACTCTCCATGGTGGCCGTACAAATGTACATCCCCACCAACAGTTCATCAGGATTCCCTTTTCTCCATATCCTCGCTAGTACTTGCTGTTTCTTGTCTTTTTGATAACAGTCACTCTGACAGGTTGAGATGATATCTCAACTGTGGTTTTGATTTGCTTTTCCCTAGTGATTAGTGATGTTGAGCATCTTTTCATGTCCTTAGTGGCCATCTGTATATCTTCTTTGGAAAAATGTCTATTCCAATGCTCTGTTCATTTTTATTTATTTTTAAAATTAAAAGAAGATTTGGCTGTGCTGCATCTTTGAGGCTGTGAGTGGGCTTTCTCTAGTTGCAGCGAGTGGAAGCTACTCTCTAGGTGTCGTACGCGGGCCTCTCATCGCAGTGGTCGCTTGTCTTGTTGCAGAGCACGGGCTCTAGAGCACAGCCTCCAGAGCACAGCCTCCGTCGTTGTGATGCATGGGCTTACTTGCTCCACGGCATCTAGAATCTTCCCAGACCAGGGATCGAACCTGCGTCCCCTGCATTGGCAGGCGGATTCTTAACCCCTGGGGCCATCATGGAAGTCCCACTCTGCTCATTTTTAAATCAAATTGCTTGGATTTTTGCTATCAGGTTGAATGAGCTCTTTATATATTTTGGATGTCAACCCCTTATTCGATATATAGCTAGCAAGTATTCTCTCCCATTCAGTAGGCTGTCTGTTCATGTTGTTGATGGTTTCCTTTACTGGGCGGTCTCCACACACTTTTACTTCCTCTGTAAATACAACCAAACCTTGCTATGTAAGGTCCCTCCCAGAAATTGGCTTGTGACCACTGAACGGGTGGGGGGCCAAGTAGGATGTTCCCCTCTACTTAACAGCACTGATGACACTTTTTCTGTACCCCAGGTGTGTACCCGAGTCTCCTCGATGGCTGATCTCCCAGAACAAAAATGCTAAAGCCATGAAGATCATTAAGCATATTGCCAAGAAAAATGGAAAACCCTTGCCTGAATCTCTTCAGGTGAGCCAGTGGCTAAAGTAGGAAAGCAGGGGACGTGAAAAGGAGGAAAAACCATGCGCTGTCTCCATGGGGAGCCACAGAAGGGGCCCACCTCCCATACACAGCAGGATATTTTTCTGTTCCACTAAGATTTGTGGTTCCCAGTAGAAAATTTTAAGCAGATGGAAAACATCAAAGGAAGCCAAAAGTCATTTGAAAGTCAAAGGAGGAGCTTCTATCTTGTTCATCTCTTGACTGTGTTGGCCCTCAGCCTCAGTACAGAGGGAAGAATCTTCAAACACAAATAATTTCCTGTAATTTTTTAAATTTTAAATACAAAAGTTATCCCCAAATATTTGAAGCACCCCCCTGCCTTCTCGAATAGAACAAATCAGTGTCCATTTTCCATGCACTTAGCGTTTCGCCTTTAGTAGACCTCATCACCTTTAATTTAAAACTTTTCACCTGAGAGGACCTGGTAAAGAGAAAATCAAGTTTACTCGGAATTTCTATTGACATAATAGCAAGTCATTTCTGATGAGGCTCTAAGATGGGTGACCAGTACAAATCTGAGATTGACCTGACATTCACAGTGAGGGACTCGGAGGCCTTTTTTCTTCACTTCCTCTCTGGGTGGTCAGAGTACCTATTTTTTTTTTCTGCATGAACTGGCATAGCACTGATTCTTATAATTCAGATCCTCTTGGAAACTGGCCAAGGGATAAAGCACACGTGGGTCACTGTCTACCCCACGGTCAGAGTTCACCTGAGGACGCTAAGTCCGGTCATTGCTGCTTCCCTGGAGGCCTCTTCCAACACCAACTTGTCCGGTCCAGCATTGACTGTGTCCTTCTAGAGTGGGCTTCTCAATTCTGCACACAGGGTCACCGGGGGAACCTGTGAACATGCATTTCCCTCTGGCTGGGCTGGGGCCAATGATTTTTCACTCTTTATTATTTTAATATTTTATTTTATTTATTTATTTGGCTTCACCAGGTCTTAGTTGAGACATGCAGGACCTTCGCTCTTTATTGGAGCATATGAGATTTGGCATGCAGAACCTGGTTCCCTGACCGGGGATTGAACCCAGGCCCCCTGCACTGAAGTCTTAGCCACTGGACCACCAGAGAAGCCCCCAGAGACCTTTCATTCTAACAAGCCCCAGGTGATGCCAATGCTAGTCTGAGTGCCAAGGTCCCAGAACACTCGGGGCTGGGTGTGCAGAGAGGGTGTGTCAATGCCCTCAGCCCTCAGGGTCACTGGAGGACCTCAGTTTTACCCCACCACACTTTACCAACAGCATCCCTTAATATATATGCATGAGTTACCTCGCTTCTCTGTAACCCAGTTTCCCCTTCTATGAAATGCAGCAAAAAACATAGAATCTAACTTGTAAGGTGGTTACATTGACTGGACAAGTTAATGTGTATTAAGGGCTTAGCTAGCTCTGGGCACGTGAAAAGCATTCAGCAAGTCTAAGGTATTATGTTCTCTGGGTGATCCTGGGACGCTGCCATGAAATATATAAAACTGTTGCTATTGTTTCTATTCTCAGAGCCTCAGACCGGACGAGGAAGCTGGTGAGAAGTTGAATCCTTCATTTCTTGACTTGGTCAGAACCCCTCAGATAAGGAAACACACTTTGATCTTGATGTACAACTGGTAAGGATCATTTTCCACTTTAAAACCTCTCCAAATTCTTTTCATCTCCATCATCCACATAGAGGCAGGGACCAAGAGTGCCATCAAAACGTAGCTTAGGTCCAGTCAGCATCAATGGTGGATTGCAAGTGGGCTCATTTATAGTATGTTGTCTAGAAATCATTTTTGTCAGGCAGATGTTGAAATCAGCTTACAGACCCAACACATAGACCACACATTCTCAACCTTGGCTTTACCTTAAGAATCACCTGGGAGTTTATAAAATACCAAGGCCAGACTCCTCTCCTACAAAGACATGGATTTAATTGTCAAGGCAAGGAACCAGGAACCAGTACGTTTAAAATTTTCCAAGTGATTCTAATGCCAAACTGAGGCTATTGGTATAGATTTTTTAAAATTGAAGTATAGTTGATTTACAACATGTAGTTTCAGATATACAGCACAATGATTGAGTCATATATATACATATATGTATATATGCTTCAAATTCTCTTGGAGAAGTTGTAGAAGTGTTAGTCGCTCAGTTGTGTCTCACTCTTTGTGACCCCATGGACTGCAGCCTGCCGGGCTCCTCTGTGCATGGAATTCTGCAGGCAAGAATACTGAAGTGGGCCGCCATTCCCTTCTCCAGGGGATCTTCCTGCCCCAGGGGTTGAACCTGAGGCTCCGGCACTGGCAGAGTCTTTACCAGCTGAGTCACAGGGGAGCCCTTACAGGTTGTGACTAAATATTGAGAGAGTCTCCTGTGCTATACAGTAGGTCCTGGTTGCACAGATTAATTGATATGAGTGTAGATCTCTCCTTTTCTTTTCCACCTGGAGAGAATGTAAATAAATAAACTTCTCAAACAAGACTACCCCACAGAGATAACCACTGACCCACATCCAGCAGCAAGTCTGACCATCCTCACTGCCTGCAGGCTCGTGGGCTCTGCACCAGTGCAGCGCGTTTTCCCTTCACTGAGCGGCGTCGCTGGGATGACACACAGCAGCCAAATGGCGCTTCACAGTCACTGACAGAAGGGGACGTCCCTGGTGGTTCATGCTCCACTGCAGGGAGCACGGGATCGATCCCTGGTCGGGGAACTAAGATCCTGAATGTCCCGCATGCCACATGGGACAGCTAGAAAATAAAAGAATATCCACAGTCACTGACAAAAGCCAAGCTCACCAGGAGTTAATTTAGCAACCTTCACAATATTGCATTCAAAATGCATCGGGGCCATCTGGCTTCATTATCCTCATATTTTCCATTGCAGACATTGAACACTTTCAATCAACAAAACCAGAAGCATCATCTAAGTCTTGTTTGTGAATGGATAAACAACAGGGACCTACCATATAGCACAGGGAACTAGATTCCGTACCCTGTGATCAACCATAATGGAAAAGAATGTAAAAAAAGAAAGCATATGTGTATATAACTGAGCTACTTTGCTTACAGCAGAGACTGGTGCAACATTGTAAATCAACTATACTCCAGTTTAAAAAATTAATTAATTTTTTAAATGTTTTCTGTATCATATCAAAAGATAAATAATCAAAACTGGGGCTGTATCCATTTGGGAATTTTGTTCCCATTTGGTCTCCTATGTTCCTAATGTTTGGATTAAATAGTCATTAGAATTCCAGAAAGAGAAAAGATTAACAACCACTAATAACCTAGATAGCATATTAAAAGGCAGAGACATTACTTTGCCAACAAAGGTCCATCTAGTCAAGGCTATGGTTTTTCCAGTGGTCACGTATGGATGTGAGAGTTGGACTGTGAAGAAAGCTGAGTGCTGAAAAATTGATGCTTTTGAACTGTGGTGTTGGAGAAGACTCTTGAGAGTGAGTCCCTTGGACTGCAAGGAGATCCAACCAGTCCATCCTAAAGGAGATCAGTCCTGGGTGTTCATTGGAAGGACTGATGCTGAAGCTGAAACTCCAATACTTTGGCCACCTCATGCAGACAGTTGGCTCATTGGAAAAGACCCTGATGCTAGGAGGGATTGGGGCAGGAGGGAAAGGGGACGACAGAGGATGAGATGGCTGGATGGCATCACCGACTCAAAGGACATGAGTTTGAGTAAACCCCGGGAGTTGGTGATGGACAGGGAGGCCTGGCGTGCTGAGATTCATGGGGTCACAAAGAGTTGGACACGACTGAGTGACTGAACTGAACTGAATAACCTGAAACAGTTCTACTAAATAAATCCCGCCAGTAAGACATTTCTCCTCGCCTTTCAACTTGGCCAGGGATTATTAGCCTAATTCTTTCCCTTTCCAGATTCTGAGGTTACAGCCCGCCACCATAATGGGTCAGATGGTGTAGAAGCAATGGGATGGAGGGAAAAGCAATAATAAGATGACAAAGAAAGCTGTCCTACAATCAACCTTTTGGTGACTTGCTCACGGTGCTTGTCTTGATCTGGGCTCTCTTCTTTGCTTAGGTTCACGAGCTCTGTTCTCTACCAGGGCCTCATCATGCACATGGGCCTTGCTGGGAGCAACATCTACCTGGACTTCTTCTACTCTGCGCTGGTTGAGTTCCCAGCTGCCTTCACCATCATTCTCACCATTGACCGCGTAGGTCGCCGTTATCCCTGGGCCACATCAAATATGGTGGCGGGGGCAGCCTGTCTAGCCTCGGCCTTTATCCCTGAGGGTAAGTGCCCTGCCAAGCTGGGGTCTTGTCTGCCAAGGCCCTGAGAAGATGGGGGGGGAGCACAGCCCTCTGATAGGAAGACCATATTATTCAGCGTGGAAGTCGACTTGGAAAGAATGAATGAAATATCTGGGACTTTCCTGAGTGAACGCATACGGCAAGTCTGCCTGTAAGAGCCACGGCACCCGGTGATGGCCTGATGTGATATAATCACATCCTCTGGTTCTCTGAGTTGGGCTTCCCGGTAGCTCAGACGGTAAAGCGTCTGCCTGTGATACAGGAGACCCGGGTTCAATGCCTGGGTTGGGAAGCTCCCCTGGAGAAGGACAGGGCGACCCGCTCCAGTACTGTTGCCTGGAAAATCCTACGGATGGAGGAGCCTGATAGGCTACAGCCCATGGAGTCGCAAAGAGTCAGTTCTCTGACATAATACAGTAAGAGAGGCTAGGAGGACCCATGCCTCGGGCCATCCAGCTGGGCCAGCACAGAGAGCAGGCTATTTCTTCTAGGTGACCTCTGTAGATGAAAGTTGGTGGAACTTTGGAATCTGATGTCATTCTGGTGTCATTAACAACTGAGGTCTAAAGTAAAGAAGGTCTAAAGTGAGAAAGACTAAAGGTCTAAAGTGGTAGAACCGTGAGGCTAACCCAAGCAGACACGGGGAATTTTGCAGAACTGTCCCGAGTCTGCAGAAGCACCAACGGTGCACCCCTGTCCCCTTCTGGGGGATGCACTGTCTCCTTGCCCCTCCGCTCCGCCCCCAAGCTCCGTTTGGGGACCCGGGAGCCTGCGTAGCACGTGTCAGCCGTGTGTTTCCCCCTCAGATCTATACTGGCTAAGAGTCACGGCTGCTTGCCTGGGTAGGATGGGGATTACGGTGGCCTATGAGATGATTTGTCTGGTCAACGCGGAGCTGTATCCCACATTCATCAGGTGCGTACGTCTCCCTCAGCGTGAGGAGGGAGGCTGGGACATTTGTTTACGGGTGAGCACGACCACAGGTGCCAAAAGAGGACAACTCCCCTTTTTTAAGAAATTTATTTTATGGATGTACAGTTGATTTACAGTGGCATGTTGATTTCTACTATACAGCAAAGTAATTCAGTTATACATACAGGTGTACATTCTTGTACATATTCTTCTCCATTACGATTTATCACAGGATATTGAATCTAGTTCCCTGTGCCATTCCATAGGACCTTGTGGTTGATCCATAGGACAGTTTGCCTCTGCTAACCTCGAACTCCCAATCCAACCCTCTCAGCCTTCCCATGCTCCTTCGCAGCCACAAGTCTGTTTCCGTTTTGTAGATAAGTTCATTTGTGTCGTATTCTAGATTTCACGTATATGCGACGTCATATGGTCTTTGTCTTTCTCTTTCTGACTTCCTGCATTTGGTATCTCTAGGGAAGGCACCTTCCTTTTCGAGAGGATGGGGCCATTTCAAGGCAGTAGGCAGGTCACACCTCACACTCCCAGGCTGGGGTAAAACCCAGGAACCACGTGGCGAGAACAGGAGCCACTGCGTGGAGAGGGAGGCCACAGGAGGGAGAACGGCCCCCCCAGGCTGGCAGAGCAGGGCAGGGGCAGGCGGTGATGAAAGTAAAGGTTGAAAATTGCCCCCGCCCCCAGTTAAACATCTTCCAGAAAGTTAATACAAAGCAAACACAACAGAACATGAATGGAATTATGTATCATTTCCGTGCATCGACGGTACGGTGAAGACTTTCGGCTCACACACATTTCAATGATTGGGGGAGGTGTTTAAGGCTGGGGTGGGAGAGAACTATGGTCCTGGGAAAAGCAGAAGAAAACCTCGTCCTGTGTTTCAGGAACCTCGGGGTGCTCGTCTGCTCCTCCATGTGTGACATCGGGGGCATCCTCACACCCTTCCTGGTCTACAGGCTCACCGACATCTGGCATGAGCTCCCCCTGGTGGTTTTCGGTAAGAAATCCCCAGAGATGTCCGAAGGAAAACCTGTCTTTTAGGGGTCTCCATGTTTCTACCTCCAAACAAGTGCTCTCCTTGCAAGTAACTACTAAATGTGACTAGTAATTGGGGCTACTCTTGGTGTGGCAACATTAGTGTTACTAACGGCATTAGCAGCCGCTAACACTCAAGTCTGGGAACCCATGAGGACTCAACGCCCATAGAGATGCAAAGTCCAGGGCGAGTGAGGTGGGGGTTTCTTTGAAGAAGACCCTCTCCCCTCACTGATATATGCCTCTTTGTCCAGGAACTCATTCTTTCTATCTCCTCTAGGCCCAGACATTGGAAAATACAAACTCTTTTTACTTCCTTACTTACAAAGAAGCAGTTAAAATTTTGCCAAGGGCGATTTCAACACCCAGCAGAAATAGACCAAGATGGAGAAAGTGCAGACTTCCATGGCAGTCCAGTGGTTAAGACCCCATGCTCCGAATACAGGGGGCCCAGTTTTGATCCCTGATCAAGGCACTAGATCCCACATGCTGCAACTCTAAGATCCTGCATGCTGCAATGAAGGCCCAGTGCAGCCAAACAAATACATTTTTTAAGAAAGAAAGAAAATGCGTTAGCATGACAGGAACACCTGTGGGGGTGATGGCACCTCATCCTCAGGTTCCTCAGAGATTAGATTGAAGGAGCAGGGGCACAGTCCTGCCCGCCGACCCTGAAGGGAGTATGGGTGCTGAGTCCACCCCTCCCAGACCAGCCGCAGGAGAGAAGGGGAGGGATTAACCTAATCATCACCACGTCCTGAACCCTAAGTCTGCAGACTGTGAGAGGGGCTGGGATCCTGGGAGGCTCCATTCATTCCATATGCACTGCCTCTTCCCCCAGGGGCAGACAGATGGACAGGTGCACTCCTGGGCATCACAGCAGCCCCGGCTCCAGATCCACACACGTAATTTCACCCTCTCAACGTGTCAGCCCTGGGGTCTCCACACACCCACTCCTGTCTTCTTTAAGACTCCTTCTGAGTCTTTGTTTTAATTTGACAGAAATGGAATGCTTTCCCCATGGGCATACAAGACTCAGTCTGGGGGAGGAAGGGAAAGACCCTCTCAGATGACAGCAAAGTGAAGTCGCTCAGTCGTGTCTGACTCTTTGCGACCCCATGGACTGTAGCCCACCAGACTCCTCTATCCATGGGATTTTCCGGGCAAGAGTACTGGAGTCGGTTGCCATTTCCTTCTCCAGGACATCTTCCCGACCCAGGTATTTGAACCTGAGCCTCCCGTATTGTAGGCAGGCGCTTTACCGTCTGAGCCGCCAGGGGGACAGCGAATGGCTCTCCCCCAATCCTGCGTGTTCTCACACACGTGTCTCTGCCCATCCTTCTGCTCGAAGGACTTGTGAGGGCAGAACTTTCCACTGCTGTAGGTCTATCAGCAAAAACTCCAAAGCATTGTGAGAACTCACCCTTGAAGGAGACTTGACGAGTGTTTCCATGTTCCACCGTAACAACAAGGTGGCCGAGTTGAGAGAACATGAGGTCTCTGTCCCGAGGTAGGCAGGTGGCTGGCCTGGCTGGGGGCCCCGGGCCCAGACTCCTTCCTCCCCCAGCACTAGCCCAGGGGCCCGACCCCAGGACCCCTTTTCCATCTTGGGAAGCGCCATCGCACGCTCTGGGCTCTTGCTTACACTCCAACCTCGGCCACTCCCCTAGGTTGGCAGTGAGTGGTCCACAGGTCTGCGGGATATTTCTGGGTGGAAAATAGGTACTTCTTAGTATCTATTTTATTTTTCTTAGTACCTTTTAACAGCAACAACAAAAATGCGAAGTCCAGACCCAGAGGAACGCCCCAGACCTACACCGTCTGCTGGGCCCTGCCTGTCCATCAAAAAGATAAAGGGTGTTAACTGCATTTCAAATTTGAAGTAAGCAAAGTGTTGGTGGCTCCGTCGTGTCCAGCTGTTTGTGACCCCATGAACTATAGCCTGCCAGGCTGCTCTGCCCACAGGGAGTCTCCAGGCGAGAATACCGGAGTGGGTAGCCGTTCCTTTCTCCAGGGCATCTTCCTGACCCTGGGATCGAACCCACATCTCCGGTCTCTCTTGCATTGGCAGGCAGGTTCTTCACCACTAGAGCCTCCTGGGAAGAAGACAGTTCCTGATTTTATATCACTGGTAGTTTCCTTCTCTCACCAGCCTTTAATAGCTAGCAGGAAGCAAAACTAGCAGTTTTACAGTTTTCTTTCTCTTTTCACACAATCATGGTGTGCAAACTGTGCTGTAGTAAATCAGAAATGGTCATCAAGAAGCCTGAAAACCAACACATGAATACATTGGAAAAATTCATGCCACGGACCAGGCACTTTTCTAAGCACCTAATGAATATGAACTCGTTTCAGCCTCATAACAAGCATTTGAGGTGGACACATCACCCCACATTCTGCAAGGGTGTCTGGAGCATCAGGAGACCATAGAACCTCTCAGGGCTCTGAGACCAGGGCTCAAGGCGTCAGCACTTGGGCTGTCAGTATTGAACCCAGGTGCCCAGAGCTCCAGTCGGTGCCCTGACCCGCTGCACACTGCAGGCCTGTATTTCTATTTCAGTTTTAAGGGTGCAGAAAATGGAGTCCAGCAGGCATTTTTTTGAAACCCCAAACTAGTAAAGAACCCACATCCTACTGCTTGCATTCTATGATAGAAAATATATAAAGATGTACCCTGGTTCGATTCCTGGGACGGGAAAAACGCCTGGAGAAGGGAAAGGCTACCCACGCCAGTATTCATGGGCTTCCCTGGTAGCTCAGATGTAAAGAATTGGCCTGCAATGCGGGAGACCTGGATTCAACCACTGGTTTGGGAAAATCCCCTGGAGGAGGGCATGGCAACCCACTCCAGGATTCTTGCCTGGAGAATCCCGTGGACAGAAGAGCCTGGTGGGCTACAGTCCATGGGGTCACAAAGAGTCAGACACGACTGAGCGACTAAGCCCAGCACAGCATGTGTGTGTGTGTGTGTGTGCGCGTGTGTGCGTGTATATATAAATTTTTGTATATATGTTTTTGTGTGCATATATAGTCTTTTTACGTATATTTAAGTATATATATATAGATATATATGGTCTTTTTATGTATATACACACATATATATACATCTATATACATTTAAAGTCTATATATAGATATATATACATAAAAATACATACATATATACTATATATACACATACAAAGACTATATATAATTGTATACATTTTAAAAGCTATATATATTTAAAAGAATATATATATATGAATCACTTTGCTGTATGCCTGAAATTAACACAACACTGTATGTAGATCAACTATCCTTCAGTAAAATAAAAAATAAAAAGCAACAATAAATAAAGTAAAATACTTGGCTATACCATTTAATGCTGTTATGAAGTAATATGTGATTCATTACTTTTATTTGCTGGTGATGATCCAAGTTTCTAACTCATTTTCATTACTAAGTGCTTTATATTGGCAGGGCTATATTCTTTCTTTTCTTAGCATTGTTTTTTTTTTCAGAGTTATTTTCTAACTCTAAAGTATCTTAATATCATGGCAATGTCCTCTAGCCTAGAATAACTTTGACTCAAAATGCGAAGTATTTCATTTCCCTATAAGGAATTGTAATTCAGTGGAGTTTGGAACAGGCAAAATATTTATGATGGGGAACAGGGCAGTCTGAGACGGCAAAGGAATCTGTAAGTATAGGAAACCATAAAAAAATTTTTTTAAGAAACAAGGGGAGCTCTAATTACAGAAGCGGCATGCATCAACCCTGAATGTGGTCTTTGTCGTTTGGTTTTCAGCCGTGGTCGGCCTGATTGCTGGAGGACTGGTGGTGTTGCTCCCAGAAACCAAAGGGAGGACTTTGCCTGAGACCATTGAAGAAGTTGAGAACATGCAGAGGTAGGAAGCTGAGATTTCTTCATGAACCATTCCATGCATGTTTGGGGGAAACTCTGTAGCTGGCTGGAAAGAAAGATTAGGTTGAATCTATCCCTCAGACTGTACACTGAGATCAATTCAAATGAAATCAAAGATTAAAATGTACCAACCAAGAAACAGTGAAAGAGAATGAAGATATTATAGGAGAAGACCTTAACTCTTTCACAGTGAGGGAGACTTTTAAAATTTGGCCCAAAATATCCAGGACCCATTAGGAAAAAAAATTTGCCCTCATAAAAATTTAAAACTGTGTTGAAAAACTTCCATAAGCTAAAAAAAGATAAGCAAACTTAGAGAAAATGTTTACTCTTCCATAAAGGGCTAATTTTCCGAATGTATAAATAGTACTAACAAATGCATAAGAAAAATCACACAGTAGAAAAAAAATGGACAAAGGACTTGAATACATAATTTAGTGAAAAGAAAAAAAAACAGCTCCAAAATATATTAGTATGCCCAATCTCCTTCATAGTAAGAGAATTGCAAAGTTGCCCTGCACTGTTATCCACTGGGATTGTCAAAGATCAAACTGCTTGAAAACAACCAATGGACCCTTGAACAGCACAGGAGTGGTGGGTGTCAAGCCCCTATGCAATCAAAATCCACTTATAACCTTCAATTCCCCCAAAACTTAACTGCTAATAAATGTTAGTCGCCCAGTCATGCCTGACTCTGTGACCCCATGGACTGCAGCCCACCAGGCTCTTCTGTCCATGAGATTTTCCAGGCAAGAATACTGGAGTGGGTTGCCATTTCCTTCTCCAAAGGATCTTCCCAACCCAGGGATTGAACCCAGGTTCCCTGCACTGCAGATTCTTTACTTAGCTTACAAGGGAAGCCCCAACTGCTAATCATCAGAAGCTTATGAATAACATAGGGCAGTTCAGACATATTTTGTATGTTGTATGTGTCATATACTGTGTTCCTACAGTAATCTATAGAAAAGAAAATGTTGTTAAGAAAATCATAAGGAAAATAAAATACATTTACAGTACTACACTGTGTTTTTCAGGCTTCTCAGGTGGCACTAGTGGTAAAGAACCTGCCTGCCAATGCAGGAGACATAAGAGATGCAGGTTCAATCCCCGGGTCTGGAAGATCCCCTGGAGGAGGGCATAGCAACCCACTCCAATATTCTTGCCTGGAGAATCCCATGGACAGAGGAGCCTGGCAGGCTACAGTCCATAGGGTCGCACAGAGTCAGATACGACTGAAGCGACTTAGCATGCACATACCTTGTTTATCAATACTGTAAATTTATCAGTTTACATCATTTGTTTCTAAGACAAACCATCTATCAGCACCTACATGAACATTTTCTTTTATGATACAAAACACTGTAGAACTGGTGGCTCAGTGGTAAAAAAAAAATTGGCCTGTCAAGGCAGGAAACATGGGTTCAATGCCTGATCCGGGAAGATCCCAGAGGCCACAGGGCAACTAAGCCCATGCGCCACAACTGTGAGCCTGTGCTCTAGAGCCTGGGGACCACGCTGCTGAGCCACATGCCCAAATACTGGAGCCTGCACGCCCCAGCGCCCGGACTCCCCAGCGAGAGAAGTCACGGCGGTGAGAAGCCCGCGGACCACAGTGAGGTAGTCCTGGCTTGCCAAAACTAGAGAAAAGCCCACGCAGCAGTCAGGACCCAGCAGGGCCAAAGCTAAATAAATAAAATTAAAAGGAAAACACGGTAGATTTTACATGGATTCATAACAAGTGACATCGAAAATGAAAAGATCATGTGAAACAGAAATCCAAATTTACAGATAGAGTGATTCATGGGCTTGATGCTGAAGAAGTACCTATACTGTATATAGATAATATATCTGTATGATTGCTTTATGGTTGCCTACTGTAACTGACTCGATGGACATGAGTTTGTGTAAACTCTGGGAGTTGGTGATGGACGGGGAGGCCTGGCGTGCTGCGGTCCATGGGGTCAGAAAGAGTTGGACACGATGGAGCGACTGAACTGGACTAAACTGAACTGTAACTGATGCTATTGCTCTCCACTGCTCATGGCAGCCTAGCCCATACACGAATGAATGGATTGATGTGAAATTTTTGTGCCATACAGTGACAGTCACACTCATAATAGAGTATCAGAAATGTCTGTTACATTTTTTAAAAAAACCACTTACCTGTGATGATAGGCAGGTTCTCCACTATGATTGAGAGAGGCATAATGTAAGATAATGTAATTCTTTGAAAGCAAAATTATAAAATAATAAGAAAATGAATACATTATTAATTTTGTATTAAATATCACTCACCTTATGCTTATGTGGGGATGGAGTCTGTGCATGCATGCGTGCTCAGTCATGTCTGACTCCTTGCAACCCCATGGACTGTATCTCTCCAGACTCCTCTGTCCATGGGATTCTCCAGGCAGGAATATTGGTGTGGGTTGCCATGCCCTCCTCCAGGGCATCTTCCCGGCCTAGGGATCGAACCAGTGTCTCCTGGATCTCCTGCCGGTAGATTCTTTACTCCTGAGCCACCAGGGAAGCCAAGACTAATGCCTACACATACTTTATGCATTCATGATGGACTTAACTTTTTCTCAGTTTTTTAAAAATTTCTAGGCTACATGTTTCATCTGAGACCTTTTTAAATTGTCACAAATTGCCAAGAAAATTTCAAATTTTTTATTGAAAGAAATGCACGTGTAAGTGGACACATGCAGTTCACACTTGCGTTGTTCAAGGATCAACCGCACTGTGCTGATAAAAGGTGTGGAGAGACAGGCAGAGTCCTTAAAACCTTTCTGATGGGCAATATGACAATAGTAATGAAATTGTAAATGTGTGTACATTTGTACACAGCAATTCCATCCTTGTAGAAATTCATGTGTGTAAGATGGTGTATGTACAGGATTTTCATTAACGCAATTTTTATGTATCAAAAGAGTGAGAGCAGCATAAATGCAGATCCATTGGGAGACCAGTTAGTTAAATTATGGCGTGTCATTCAGTAAAATACTGCATAGTCATTAGAAAGAATGAGGCAGCTTGATATACACTGATAAGGAAACTCTCCCAGATGTATTTTTTTTTTAGATGTATTATTAATGGGGGAAAAGAGCAAAACCTAGAAAGGCATATAATCATTTGTGAACAGAGAAAAATACATGTATGTGAAACTTAAATATTTATTAAACATATATATAAATTATATATACAATTTACTTTATCTCTGGAAGCACATGCATACCATTGATCGTCTATGGAATTAGATGGCTATGGGAGATAAGTGGGAGGGAGACGCTTCAGTGCATACTTTTTGCACTTTCTGAACACATACAATTCTATTTTAAAAGTAACCTTAAAAAATCAAAAATAGGGACTTCCCCTTCGGTTGGTACAGTGGATAGGAATCTGCCTGCCAATGCAAGGGACACAGGTTCGATCCCTGGCCCAGGAGGATTCCACGTGCCACAGAGCAACTAAGCCTGTGGGCCGCAACTACTGACGATGCACACTCTAGGGCCAACGAGCCACAACTACGGAGCCCAGGCATCACAACTCCTGAAGCCCCCAAGCCCGAGAGCCAGGAAACCGCAAGCCCGAAGGCTGCAGGGAGCGACTACTGAAGCCCACGGGCCTCGGGCCTGTGCTCCACAACAGGAGAAGCCACCTCAGTGAGAAGCCCCGACTAGGGAGCCACCATCGCCGGCCGCAAGCAGAGAAAGCCCAGGCACAGCAACAAAGACCCAGCGCAATCAAAAATAAATACATAAAACCATTTAAAAAAAATCTACATCCAGAGAAACATGTATGACACACTCCCCCAGGAATCTGTTTATGTGATATGCTCAGCTATAACTGTTCATTTTATCCATAGTCCATTTTCGGCCCATTGATGCCGTGAACTGAACTGAATTGTACCCATGCTACAAACCCTTCACATTTCACATATTCAGCACTTGGGCAAAGGTCACAGCAGGAGAATCACAGAGGTCTGAGGCTTTTCCTAGAACTTGGAAGAGTCTTTTAATTCAGCCAGAGGTCATGCACTAGCAGTTCATGGGACACCGGGGTCTCAAGAGCCTTGCCTGGCCCACGTAATTTTTTAAGTGGGAAATTCCACATAAAATGAATTTCCAGAATCTGTGTTTTTTTTTTTAAAATCAGAGAATTGGGTAACACTGAGCAGGCAGTTTCCTCCTGTTGACTGTTTGGAGGAGCTGAGTGTTGACAGCTCAGCTCTTTGAAGGGCATGCCTGCTGGAGCCAGCCACAGGCCCTTCTTCCCTACCCTTGGTGCCTAGGACACGTCTGTTTTCCATCTGGTGAGTGTGGACCTTTGAGTTTGAGATCCTTGATCTTGATCAACTAACCCCCATAGACCTTGTCCAGTGCATCTTCCTATGCACACGAGTGTCTCCCCTCGAGGACAGAAATTGTACATCGTTTATGGTCGTGTCTCTAGAGCTAAGCATAGTCCCCATGCACAAAGAGCAGATGCTCGCCAAATATTTGCGAAATAAATGCAGAGCTCCTCTACAGCATCCCTATGTGACGTACCCCTAGGTTTGCCCCCGCCAATCCCAGTGTCAGCGAGGCAGTAACATGTGATGGTGAGGAACAGGCCAGGTCTGATGCCAGAACCCAGCCTCTGGGCACTGACTCTGAATTGAATCTCAGAGACAGAGTTTTGGGGTAAAGTAGAAAAGAATAGCTTTTTTGCAGGTGCCAAGCAAAGAGTCCAGGGCAGCTAGTGCTTAAAAGACCCAACCTTCCTGAAGATTTTCGAGGAAAGGTTTATAAAACAAGGTGTAGCAAAGGGGTTATGGGGTGTGTGACCATCTCATGGACATTCTTCTGACTGGTTGGTGGTAAGGTACTTGGGAGTCAGCATCATCAACCGTCTGGTTCCAACCAGTCTGGGATCTAGAGTTAATGGGGAGCATAGGTAGTTTCTTCCATCTGGTGGGGTTTCAGTATCTGCAAAACAGCTCAAAGGACATGGCTCAAAATATTATATATAGCCCTTGAAGAGGGACTAAAGGTCCTTGACTTTAATGGTTAAAGCATTATTTTGTCTTGCTTGGCTGTTTTTCTTTTTTTCTGCATTTTCTCACTTCTCTGATTAAATTTGTTCTTTGACTAAAGTGTTTCTACAGACAAAGGCAGGTGGAGGTCATGGGTGGGTGTCTATTCTGGAAAGGCTTCACAAGGTCCTGCTGGGTTATGGGTCCTCATATTTCCTATCATGTTATCTTCACTCCACTAGGGCTCAATTTTTCATCTGTCAATGGAACAAGAGTTCCTATTCATTGAATTTTTGTAATGATTAAATGGGACTTCCCTGATGGCTCAGCAGGTAAAAAGTCCACGTGCAACACAGGAGATGTGTGTTTGATCCCTGGGTCGGGAAGATCCCCTGGAGAAGGAAATGGCAACCCACTGCAGTATTCTTGCCTAAGAAATCACAAGGACAGAGGAGCCTGGTGGGTGGATAATGCCTGTAAAGTGCCTGGCTCTTAGCAAATGTTCAATAACCACCTAGACTATTCATAGAAGTTTTCACAGATGTTTTACAATACAATAAAATAGGTACCCAGATGGTTTATTGGAAAGCAAAATTTTAAATATACACTGAATGGTTCTGAGACAGGGAAGTGCAGCTCAGTGATACACCCATATGCCTGTACTTGAAAGAATTTTCCATTTTTATCAGACTGGTTCAAAGTAGGCTAAAGAGATATTTTGCAACATTATTCCTATTGTTGTTTTATATTCTTGCTAACTATGCCATCTGCAAATACATCTATGAAGACTTGCACTTTTCTATCCTCTGTATTGTGTAAGCCAGTTCACCTTTCAAAGACAGATGAGAGATCAATAAGGTTCAGAGCATGACAGGAGGAGCATGTGAGAAGGTGGGGGACTGAAGCCGAGTTGGGTGGAAGCTCCCGTGCAGAGAAAGATGAAGAGGGGCCAGCTGGTGGGAGGCAGAGGCACCCAGGAGAGAGGGCAGCTGTAGTTGGCACCTGGAGTCAGGCAGGCTTCTCGCTAGGTCTGGAGAGCCCACCCAGGGTGTCCCAGGTGGTGAGTGGGCACCGGCGAGACCAGGGAGGTAGGAGCCCCACCACCTGTCAAGTTATTCAGCCCCTGAGCCTATCCTAGGTGCAGAGAGCCTTCTGACTGGCTAACATCACCTATTTCACCCCTTCAGCCTGTTTCCTTTCCTGCAAAATTGAGCTGCAATCGCTTACATGTCCCGAGAGCTTTCATCTGGTGCTTTGAAGACCTTCTCCTGTATCGCCTCATTTAATCCTTGCAACAACCCTAGGCAGTAGGTAGTATCATTAACCCCATTTGACGGCAGAAGGAAAAAAAGAGATTTGCCCGAAGTTAGTAAGTAACAAAGCCAAGGCTTTAATCCTGGCAGCCCAAGGCCAGGGTCCATGGACACACCTCACCCCAGAGGGCTGAGTGCACAAGAGGGGTGAGGCGGGCACGGTGCCCTGTGCGGGGCTGCCCGCAGCTGCCAGCAACCCGGCTGTCCCTGCCGCCGTTGTCACTGCTGCTGCTGATTCTGTTGCTGCCGCAACCGTCATTTTTGTGTTGCCACTATTGACAAGGAGGCCCTTGGAGCTGGATGTTGAGCTTTGGCTCCTGTGTCTGGAGTCTGAGAGCACTCCAGAACCACCTGGATCCAGATGAGCTTCTGCTCCTCTCTGCATCTCAGATGGATCCAGAGACTGAGGCAACACTAAGCCCCTCCAGGTGAGGGGCATTCTATGAGGAGTTGGGGGCCCCAGGAGCAGCCCCAACCTGGATTTCAGTATTATAAACACAAACATGCCAAGAGGGTGTGGCTGGGAACAGCACAGTGAAGAAAGAAGCATTTTTACATGAATATCAGCAAGATCCTTGTATTCATAAAGACAAGATGACTAAAAAATTTCAATTTGAAAAAATTTTTGAATTAATTTTTATTTGCTCCTTACTTTTACTGAAAAGTCAATAATCTTTGGTAAAAATGGTTTTCTCAAGTCCTATTTGCAGAACAGATGATAACAGTGTCTATATTTTGCATTCATCAATTTTAAGTGATAGAAAATTAAATTTAGTCATTTACCATGTTCTCTACTACATGGGAAAGGAGGGAAACACCTTAGACAAAGAATGTGGGCCAGTCCCACTCCTAGGAGAGCATTTTAGGAATGACTCCATCCACATTAGGTGCTCACGATGCACTGTCCATTTTCTTTTTGCGCACCACCACAAGGAACACTTGTCAAGACTGATCCTGGACAAAGCTTATACTCATTGGTTGCTCCATCTTTCTATTATCCACTTTATCTTGGTTTTCAGCTCCTCATAATCTCTTTCTCCTCTCTCCCTTTTTGTTTTATTATTTATTGCAGGTCAGTAAAAAGAAAAGACAAGATGACTTACATTGAAGTCAAGAAACTAGACACTCCACTGAATTAAGAAGAGAGAGCTGCTCTTGTTTGCTTTGACAAAAACAAGGCAAGAATCAGAGATTTCTGCTATCATCACAAAGCCTATACATGTAACCTTACTTCTGTTTGGACACTAGTAACCTTGATCTATAACCAAATGGAGGCTGTCGTACTGCTGTATGAAAACTGCCTCTAGGACGAGGTCCTGCAATCCTCCCTTGTTTGAACACTTCCAATGACTCATCTTACATAGCTACCTTAAGAGGGGATGCCAGCACTCCTCTGGACCAGATATTTCCAGAGTAGATTCTAGAATATCTCAAGGGAGAAGCAAAAAGTCTGTCGAGGAAAGAAACAGCTTACACATAAAAAGAATGTCAAGACTTTGTAATTGAAATCAGCGGAAATCTGAGTACAAGTTTAGGAATGAATCGTAAAGATACAAGGCCCAGGAGGATGAAACATAATAATGAGTCAGGTAAGATTTACTGATATGAGTGCTCTGACACAAGGTTCTAGATTTAATGTGCTGGCTGGAACATCTAGCATCAGCTCCAACAGTTAGCAGAACAACAACATGAGAAAAAATATGAGTATATTTCCATAATTTGAAATAAGGAGGACTTCTTAGGCAAAAGCATAATCCAAGAGACATGAAGTGAGTGATTGATTGATTAATGTGACTACACAAAACAAAGCTAAATTAAATGAGGCTAGCTGTTTAACACACCCCAAAAGTAAATTTAATGGATGAGTGATAGATTTGGGGAAATATTTTCCACATATAAAATATTAAAAGGTTAATATCCAAAAGAAATAAAAAGCTACTAAAAATCAATAAAGAAATGATAATCCTCTAGACAGACTATAGGGAAAAAATGGTTCAAGAATACAAAGTTAACCAAAAAAAAAAAAAGAATACAAAGTTATTTATAGAAATAGCTTTAAAAATTGTTAGGTTTTATATATATATGTATAAAGATGCATATCCTCATGGTTAGGGAAATAATAATGAAATATTTTTCACTCTTCAGATTAATTAATAAAATTAATAAAAAAATAAAATTGAAAGTATCAAGTATGGATGAGGATATGAAAAAACTTTCATGCATTACTGGCATGCATGAGTTGATTGGTTTAGTCTTTAGAAAGCAGTTTGGCAGTGTCCGTGCACATATTAGAAATGCGCACATCTGGACCCAACAATTTCACCACTAGGTATCTATTTTTGAGAAACACTAAAGCACATACAGATTCATCTCAGAGGTATTCATTGCATCATTTATTGATGAGAGCAAAAATTGCAAATAACCAAAGTCCTTATATGTGAGGAATGCTTAAATAAACTATGGTATATCAACTCATCAGTTAACAAAGAGTGAAAATAATATATAGCTACTCCATATAAAGATCTTCATGATGAAGGGCTAAGATGAGTTTTGGAATAAGGATGTAGAAATAATAAGATGTACATCTAACCAATGATCTAGGGGGAAGAGGAATGGGACTGGGCAGTGTACAAGGAACAATTAGAAAGATTCTACTTTTTCTGCAATTCTTGCATTTTTATGTTTTCATGTGCAGATCTGTGGCATGCTCATGCTGTTTTAAAAAATAAATGATTAACTGGGAAATAGTTTGATGGTTTCTTTAAAAATTAAACATGTTCTTACAATATCACTCAGCAATTGCTTGCCTGGGTATTTATCCCAGAGAAAGGAAAACATACATCCACACAAAATTCCATCCACAATTTCTCATGGCATTTTTTTTCTCTAATTAAACAAAATCTGGAAATAATCAAAATGTCCCTCATACCAAGGAACACTCCTCAGCAAGAAAAAGGAACAAATCAACAAGATACATACAACTTGAATGGATCTCAAGGTTGCTGGGCTGAGTAATAAAGGCTAATCTCCAAAGGTCACTCGTGAAAGGAAAAACTACTGAGGTGGAAAACAGATCAGTAGTTAATTATGGTCGTGGTTACATAAATCTACACGTGTGATAAACTGACATGGGTCTATACTCACATAGTGCACCAATGTCAGTTTCCTGGTTTTGATATTTCTTTAATTATGTGAGATGGAATCATTGGGGAACACCAGGTGAAGGGGACCCAGGCTCTCTCTGGATTTGTAAATTCCCGTGAATCTAGTTATTTCAAAATAAAAGATTAAAAACAGTATTTTAAAAATGAAATGTTATGGGGACCCAGAAGAGGCCACTTCTCTGTAACAATGTTTCTTAAAGTTAATGTTCAAAATGTCTTTGACTTCCGAAGGAAACTACAGTTCCTCGGTCCAGAAAAGTGCATACCCAAAACTTGCATATACTTTCACAGGCTTTACCAATCCTGTATTCAATTAAGAACTCTTGCTGTTGACACAAGTTTCAGTCCATAAACCAAACCCAGCCTGCTGCCTGTTTTTAAATAAAGTTTTATTGACACACAACTACACCCATTTACTTCTATTTGTCTAAGGCAACTTGGCAACTACTGCAGAAAAGTGAGTGGTTGCCGTAAAGATTCTTTGATGCACAAACCTTAATTATTTGCTATCTAGCCCTTTATGGGGTTTACCTGATAGCTCAGCTGGTAAAGAATTCACCTGTAATGTAGGAGACGCCAGTACAATTCCTGGGTCCAGAAGATCCTCTGGAGAAGGGCTAGGCCGCCCACATCAGTATTCATGGGCTTTCCTGGTGGCTCAGGCGGTAAAGAATCCGTCTGCAATTTGGGAGACCTGGGTTCGATCCCTGAGTTGGGAAGAACCCCTGGAGGGGGGCATGGCAACCCACTCCAGTATTCTTGCCTGGAGAATCCCCCTGGACAGAGGAGCCTGCTGGGCTACAGTTCATGCAGTGGCAAAGAGTCAGACACGACTGAGTGATTAGGCATAACACAGCAGCCCTTTATGGAAAAAGTTTGCTGACCCCTGGGGAGAATCCCACCTCTGTAAGCTGAAAGAAACGTTGGAATTAAAAATAATAATAATAATAACACAGAAAAAGCAATACTATTAACATCCTAAAGTCTGAGTTCCTTCTTCTGTGTGCCTGGAACGCAGCACCAGTTGTGTAGGCAAACAGGCAAGAAGCCAGGTAAGAAGATAACAGTTTGGAAAGAAGAAGAGCTCCCATCACGCCAGCACACTTGTGCACACGGCCATTTGTGGTTTCCTCCCCACGCCCTGAGGTGGGCTGGGCTGCCCAGCAGCCTCGGGGCGTGTTCTGGGTGTGGTGATTCCCGAAAGCCCCAGCACTCTTGAGGAAAAGAACTAGGTGGGCCTTGCAGATCGGGGTGGCCGTGTAAACTGGGAGGGGCAACTTGAGAGGGGAAGAGTCAGGGACCACTCAATCCACGTTGTAAGATGTGCTCAGTAGAAGCCTCACTATCTAAAAAGTCCCACTCATCAAAGACTATTATTTTCATTTAACCTAAAACAAAAAGAATGTATTTCTATGTCTTCAATGAAGGAGAAACATCTTTTTTCTAAGTGTACGCCTCCTGTTAGGAGTTCGGCTTTTTCTGGCTTACACCACGTTCCTAATGCATTGTTCATCACTTGCAATTTGGGGCTCTTTAAAGGAGAACCAGAACTCAAAACACTTTGAAACAACTTGGATCCAAAATTCCAGATTTTTGCCATACTTTTTTTCTTTAATACTTGATTTGTCCACATTTACATGACATTTTTAGTGACTCACTCTATTGAATATTGAGAAAGCATTTTAATTCAGGGGTCCCCAACCCCCAGGCCACAGACTGTAACCTGTTAGAAAGTGGGATGCAGAGCAGGAGGTGAGCATTGGGCAGGCCAAACCAAAACCATAACCCCACCCAGGCCAGTGGCAATATTGTCTTCCATGAAACCAGTCCCCAGTGCCTAAATATAGGGGACTGCTGATTTAACTTACTTTAATTGAATTGTGTATTAAAAATGCATTTTTTCCTTTCTCTTTCATCAGATTACATGATGTCATCAAATTAGGTAATCACAATATCTAGTTCAAAGAGAAAAAACAGATTTAGGAGCAAATCCAACTGATCCCTGGTCCTCCTGTAACTCAACTAAGAGACAGATGGGTGGTCACATTAGAAGGTGGCCACCTAGCTGAGTTGAGGGTTCGCCAGCTTGTTTTGCTAACCAACGCAAGCCCGTGTGCCCAACACACAACGAGGCCAAACAAACCTAAATGTCAGAGTCTGGAGCAGAGAAAGGTTTATTGCAAACCCCAGAATCATGCAAGGAGAATGCATGTCTTGTGCCCCCAAAACCCATCAACTCCCTTAAGGAGTTCAGCAAAGCATTTTTAAAGATGGGGGTGGGGAGGATGGCATGGTTGTGATCAGTTCGTGCAGTTTCTGACCGGCTGATGGGGAGGTAACAGGGCAGTGTCACAGGGATAAATATGATCAATCCTTAGGGTCCAGTAGATCTGGGGGCTACAGTGCTCAGGTCATCAGGTAGTTAATTTCTTCCCTTTGGTGGTAGCATCTGAAAAACTCAGGAAGTAAGCATGATCTGGGTGCTTCAGGAAGGAGCTACAGAGAGGGTGTGGGGGAGGGGTCTGCCCCAGGAAGGTCCCACGGGATTCTGCCCTGTTGTAGTTTCACAGAGAGAAGGTGTGCCCATCGGGGTTCCCCAGAGAAAACAGAACCAGTGGATGATGCACATATACACGTATGTGAAAGGGAACTGTGGCTTACATGATTGTGAAAGCTGAGAAGTCCCACGATCTACTGCCTACAAGCCAGAGACCCAGGGAAGCCAGCTGCAAAAACCGGGGTAGCCGATACTTTAACTCCCAGTCCCAGGGCGGGAGACAGATGCCCCGCTCACAGCAGGCAGGACGGGAGGATGGCAGGCAGGGACAACACTCCCTCCTCTCCTTCTCCTCCTGCTCTGTCCATGGATCGGACATCCCGAAACACCCTCGCAGACACACTCAGACATCCTTCTGCATCGGGACACAGAATTCACATTCACGGGGGGTCGCTCTGTAAACCAGTTCACTGGAGGCTGGTCTCAAGAGCGCCTCCTAAGCCCAATTGCCGCTATGTTAAACAAAACATAGAATTCCCCTGGTTTCTCTCATGCAAGCCTGACAAACAGGATAGTATGTCTAAAACACTAGTACCCTGATCAAACCTCAAGAGTAAAGCTTGCTTCCCTTTCCTCTCTTTGGCAGGTCTAAGCCCAGTATCCTTGGTTAACCAGAACTCTGAAGCTGTGAACTTGGGTGACCCACCATGAAGTTCTGAAATCAAAACTGACTTGGCAAAGACTTCTTTCCCAAAACAGTCTGACTCTACATTTACACCACCGGGCAAGTGGGTCTCGGGCTCAGGTTCACTTTCAGATGTCTCCAGCAACAATCTCTTTAAGGCAGGAAGATGTGGAGTGAAGAGGGGACCACGTCCATCACCCTTCAGCTGCTGTAATTTGGGGGTCTGTGTGATTTCGTTGTGCCCTCATTCTGCATTTCCCCGCCAAGAGCCCAGAGCCTCTTGCCCCAGGAGTGTTTGCCTTCAAGATAAGTCACCCAAGGACATCACCTCGATCACGACTGGTCCTGGCAAAATTGAGGCGTCTGTGTTCCAGGTTCCCTTATCCCTGCATCTCCTCCCTGCCCATGCCCACCCTCCCCGGCCACACCAGGGCCCTTTGACACCAATGGTTCAGCAGGTAAAGAATCTGCCTGCAATCCAGGAGATACAGGTCCAATCCTTGGATCAGGAAGATCCCCTGGAGGAGGAAATGGCAACCCGCTCCAATAGTCTTGCCTGAAAAATTCCATGGACAGAGCAGCCTAGAGGGCTACAATCCATGGGGTCACAAAAGAGTCGGACACGACTGAGCGACTAAGCAAGCAAGCCAATCTCCTCTCTGGCCCCCCATCAAAAAAGATTTGCTCCATGCCCCCAGAATCTTAGGGCTCATCTGGGGAGCAACCTGTGGGGCAGAGGGTGTTAATTCTGGAAACCAGTTCTGCTGGGTTGTGGGAACTAGCAGTCTCCGTCCCAGTGTTCAATCATTCCAGTGCTTAGATGCCCAGAAACTCCTAAAAACAATGACTCAGGATGCTAGTGCTGGCTTGGATTCCCAGGTCAGAGACTGCAGCCCAGAACACTCTTCCCAGCTCTAGACATCTCCATTTAGACGCTGAGGGTTCCTGTGGGCTTCCCAGGAGGCGCTAGTGATAAAGAACCTGCCTGCCAATTCAGGAGACATAAGAGAAGCAGGTTCGAACCCTGGGTTGGGAAGATCCCCTGGAGGAGGACATAGCAAACCACTCCAGTGTTCTTACCTAGAGAATCCCATGGACAGAGGAGTCTGGCAGGCTACGGTCCATAGGTTCGCAGAGTCAGACTCAACTGAAGCTGCTTAGCATGAGGGTTCTGGTAACCAGCATTTCTCATTGAGATTTTACTGCCAGTGACAAAAATGTTTATCATCTTCAGATTTTGACAGGAGGAAGAACTCTGTAGACGTCCATATTCATATCTGGCTTGCACATTTTCTAAGCCATCTGTCATCCCCAGGAAATCTTATAGAATGTTACAGGTATTTTACCCCCAAAGCAGATGTTTGGTGATGATTTTCCCATCAGGCAGAAATACTAGGGT